GATGAGGTTTGTATCGTTATCTTTCCTTATATTCTTAAAATAACCTCTTCGGACCTTCTTATTTACTGCGAACCTCGATTCATTGTTTTGAGAAGTGCATCCTTTATTATCAAATTCAAGATGTGTGTCTTATTAGGTTTAATAACAGGGTGTGTAAAATCATCTGACAAACTGGCATCATTCAACCTTGCCTCCTTATCTCAATATGCCATCTCTATTTCTCTAACAAATGGATCTTCAGTTCTCAGTTTAAATCTCCTTAATAAATTATGTAATTGTTCTGTTCTATCTGCAAATCAGTGTTGTTCTAATTCTTCTTAAAATCTGATTTCAGATCATTATTTCTTTGTTAGTGTTTTATTTAGTTTCAATTTGTTGTAATACTTAAATCATTGTTAATTACTTATCTCTATTCTTATTCAATTGATTAACTTATACTTACAAATGTTCACTATATCATCTCATTTGAAAATCAGCAACTCCTTTGTATAACTAAATATAAATATAGCTGTGCTTACTTTAGACTCCAAACAGTTGATTGACTCGAATGAGTGTGTACATCTGACGAAATGTGACTTTACTAATATGATATGGAAACTCAGCTAAGTAAAGTGGACTTTCTCATGAAAATTGTAATCTTTTCATCTCACTGTCTCTAATCTTAAATTGTTGAATATCTTCTGCGTTTGAAAACTCCTCATAGAATCCTCCTTAATAAAAGGGTTATTGTTGCATTGCCAAATGTTGACTTACTTGTATTATTCTAAAGCTTGCTCTGGTTCATCGCGTCAAGCGATGCTTCTTAATTTGTATTCTACTTCGATCTCAATTCAACTGTCAGTTTGTATGATATCTCCTAATACTAATCTTGTGTGATCTCCGACTATCAAGTGCATAAGTGTTTTGATTATTAATCATAGATCTCTTACGTTGTTGTGTCTGTATGCTCTTATTCATTGAATGATGTAAAAATAGCCAAACAGTTGTGTTTTCTCATTTGTCCTTTTCCGCGTAGTCTAAACTTAAATACTCTATGATACGATCTTTACCTTTAGGGTATGTGAATTTGTAAATACTTTACCAAATATTCAAATCTTCGAACGACTTGATGGTATCATATGTTGTATACTTCTCTTCTAGAAATTGTTTAAAAAGAACTTACTGCAAAGTTCCGTTCTCATCTCTTCTCATTGTAGCCTTGTATATTATTTCCATCATCTTTTGTTAATGTTCCCGTAGTGTTTCTTAAGTCTCATTCTTTCTACGAAAACTTCTGCAATAAATCTTATCTTACTTATGTGTATCTATACTACTCTCATCCAAACTCCTTAATATAATGTTGTCTAATGTACCGGCTATATGTTGTGATTTGCTAATATTGTAAGTGCACTTTTAGCTATGTTGCTCTCTCTTTCTCTCACGTTCTCTCTCTTTCGCTTTCTCTATGTCATGCTTGTTTTACCTGTATATCACTCGATAGACTCATTCCATACGAGTGAACTCTGCCTGTCTCCTTGTTTAATATACCATAATTGTATGACCTCAGTCCTCAGCTTAAAGTTATGGTACCTCACTTATGAAGAGACAGGTGGACCCTTTATTCCACATTATGGAAAAGGGCTGTTAAGGCAAAAGCAACGCACTGACATCTAGGTGTAAGGTTGTATATTGCGTCTTACCGCACTCTTAGCTCCTCTTACCTTCACCTATGTTTGCTACCTCGTTTTGTCATCAATACTTTTTACCGAGACTAACCTCTCGGTAATGAACGAGGTCTGTGTGTCCTGGTCATGGAGAGCGCTAACGACGTGTGAATGTTCTGTGTCTGAAAAAACATCTGTTAGTGCTATTCGATACAATATTAACCAGGCTGCTGCATTCCAGGAGAAGTGTGCAATTCCTTATTATTCCTTCTCCTTCGGGTCTTTTGTATTTCTGCTGCTGTATCCATGTTCTCCTAATATATCTCCTTCCAGGGTGTATGACTGCATGCTGTTTCTAATTGATATATTTTACAAGATGTGAGTTGCTTACTTAATGAATATGATTGAGCGGTTGCTTAAAAATACTTTCTTGTTTCATTGCACTTTAACTTATAAATATAATGTAATTTGTTTGATAGCATTATTGAACATATCAAAATATCTTATAATTCTTCTGTATAAAACTGAACAATCAGTTCTTCTTAAAGAAATGTGTAATAATGCAATTGGCAACATACCGCTTATAATCATACTGCTTCTTAAAAATAGTCCAGGCTTCCGCAATTTCTCGACTTACTTGTACTGTTTCAAGCAATGTTTACCTCTTCCTTGGACCATGTAACTTTTATATTACCAATAAGCTTCCGTTTTGTTGTTAATTGAAAATCTTGAAAATTGTAAAATGATACCACTCAACGGTCTCCATTACTCTTGTAAAACAATCCGACTCGATTTGGACCAAAATGTACAGGGCTTTAAATAAAAAACCCTTGTTTGCAGAAAAACGTGTTAATATTGTAGAACATGAATAACAGAAAGACCTAGAAAAAACTGATTTGACATTACTAAATTCAAATGTTTAATTTCTTCTTTTTTCTTAGATTTAATGGCGGCTAAAGTGTAAAAACTCCTTGAACAATGATTTTTAGTCGAAGATATTGTCGTGACCTTATTTGTGAAATGCTTGAATTTCCATCTGAATTTTTTTCTACGCAGTGATTAAGAAAATTTTGCACTGAAAAAACTTGTGACAGTTGTCATGCCCCAGTAACGGACAATTGCTTTTTTTTTTGTTCCTTTCATAATTGTTATTGTGTCATTCGGGTACTGCATGACTCGCCTGATAAATGTAGTTGCAATTATAAATAACCACTAAATAGTACTTAGGTATTTAAAACAATCTGTTTTTACATAATTACGAGTATGACTAATATAACGGAAGAGTTTCCTTGTATGAGTCAAATACTAGAAACTTTCAAACACATTTTAATTATTTTTACAGTAGAAGTACAAAGTATTATCAGAATATGAAAGAAGCATGGATATGTTTTAAAATCTTTATAATCTATACATATAAATGAAATTGGAGTGTCTGTCTGTTTCATTACATGAATATGTATACGGTACACCAAAATAGTATTTTTTCAATTTTTGTCTGTCTGTCTGTTTGTTCTGGCTAATCTATGAAATGGCTAGACCGATTTTGAGGGGACTTTTGTTGGTTGATAGCTGATGCAATAAGGAGTAACTTAGGCTACCTTTATTTTAGTACTGTCCAGTACCGCGCGCAGCGCAGATAGTATTTCAGGCCGACGTAATCGCAGGCCACAGCTAGTTTAGCATAATATTAAGTATTGACGTGTGAGTTGTCTCGCATGTTTGTATGTTCCGTGTATGGCGTGTTGGATCATAGCGATAACGCGGGTTATGTTATTATTAATATGAGGACGTTTCTTTCCTAACTATTGCTTATTATGCTGAAAGTTAATTTAGGTAAAACTATTCTATGACTAAATACCAAAGAGGCTAGACAAAGAATGTATCGCTTCGAAACGATTACATAACGAACTTAAAAATGTATAGAACTTACAATACTTTTCGTCAGGGGAATCGTTTCTGAGCTAATGCACTTTACCTAGTCCCGCTGTGCTTTTTAATGTGCGTCTTAGCGAATGTGAGCTATAAAAGTATATCTTACTATATTCCATATTAATGATGAAGGAAAGTAGTGACTTTTGTCAATTTCAATTTTCATTTAATTGTGTCGTGGGAATGAGTAGTGTAACTCACCACTGATCTCATATGGCCGTATTTTGTGTGCGCTAACGGTATCTCGGACAGGAAAATTTATCAAAGGATTCGTTTTACTTTCCTCGAGTAACGGTCTCTTGTGATTCGGCTCAATTTTATTTACTCAATTATCTAACGTATTATAATGGTCCTAACAACGTAATCCTAGCGCATCCTAATAACTTAATCACTCGATGAAGATTGTGTAAAAGTATCTTATTCTACTTCTTACTAATATTATAAATGCGAGTTTGATGGATGGATGTTTGGAGGTATCTCCGGAACGGTTCAACAGATCTCGCTATTATTTGGCACAAATGTAGAACACAGTTTGAAGGACACATAGGCTTGTAATTTTTTTTTATTCCGCGCGGACGGTGTCGCGGGCGACAGCTTGTGATATAATAAATACAGAGGCACAAAGTGGTCTCAGATGCGCCACATGTGCGATAAGATATCGAAGCGATGGCGTATTGTGCACACAGACATAAAGTAAACAAGGCATGTCACACAAAGTCTACTGGGAATCAAACTTAATGCATATAGGATGCGATTAAATTATATGTATTTATAAAATTTATTTAAATTGTAACGTAAACTAACAAGAGATAAATAAATGTGTTAAAACATAAAGATTAAAACGTTTCGTAACAAATTAGAAAAAATATAGAGTTTTGCTCGATTTAATTATAACAAATGGAGTCAGTATGCAAACAAAGGGGGCGGTTTGTCACAAACTCAGCAGAACTGGCAAGTGAATCATAGCTTTGTGTTATTTCGTACTGGAATAGATCGAATATCAATGTTCATATGATTATATTATACACTAGTTGTCGCCTGCGCCTCCGTCCCCGTAGGTATTAAATCAAATATCAGCGAGATCTATGCAGCCGTTCTGGAGATACATACCTTCTAACTTTACATCCATACTTATTTTTAATGTAGTATATTTTAGATAGTCGGATGATTGTTACGTAAACACAGTGGCAATCAGTCGCAATAAAATCACGAACGTACGTGAGCTGACGACCGTCCCTCGACGGTTCCGTGTTGGATGCAATTCCACGTTTTTTCGATTCTGCGAAATTGTTTCATCGAATAAAAACACTGATAACAATGAATCGTATTTATGACATGAATCACGATACTATTTAAATAATGCAAGAGATACATAAGTTCTTTCGTTAAGTATATAAAATGTTGTATTCAAATCCTTTTCTATTGCAGCATCATCCCTGGGCTACGCTCTCCTCAATGTGCCGGCGAACGCGTCCGTGGTGGACGGTAACTGCAACACGACGTCGCAGCGTTTGACCCTGGCCTGGGCGGACGGCAACCACACTCTCACCATGCACTTCCTTGCCAATGACACCACCAAGACGTACCACCTCAACAGTCTTAACATCACCATCTCACCGGAGATACTCATTAACTCTTGTAAGTTGCCATTCCTTAGACACTGCGCGACCGTCGAAAAAGAATATGTTTGTTTTGTTTATATTTTCTTGAGATGTCTTTAAAACGTGTTGTGCAAAAACTTTCTAATGATCGCATTAAGGCTAATTTAGAAACTAATGTAGATTTCATTTATAATTAGTCTGTCTACGTATAGGAAACATCTGATAATATTATCGGAGTTTATTCATCCAATACTAAATGTCCCCAATTTTTGTAACATGTTGCAAATTGTGTACAACAATTAGTGACAGTTTTTAGTTGTGACAATCGTGGGTAAGCGACGTGACGTCATCATTAAACTCGTAAAGAGCACGTCTGTTTTCATATCAACTCGATAGCTTATCACCTTTACAATTAGTTTGTTTATTATTTATAGTTAAATTGTTAATTAAGTCATTTTGTTTGTACATTTTTAATAGATTATTTCTAAATTATTTATTTCTAACGGAACATTAGTGATTATGTTAACGGGAAGATGGATTTTATTGTTAAAATTCTTATTTAATCAACGTATTATAAATCTACAATTAGTGGCCTTTTAATGTTTTTACCCAATGGGTTACTGATAACATAATCTCTGTATAAAATACATCGTCTTTCATATTTGACAAAACATATATAACTTTTAAGGTGGGTTTTTGGTCTCAGAAAGTGACGGTTAGAATAGCAGTGATTAAGTTGTAAATTGTCGTGTCTATTTTGATGTATTGTACGTGTGTACTGTGCGGCAGCGCTGTCCCGCAGCGTGGAGGTGTGGCACGGCGCGGAGTGGGCGATGCCGCTGAACACGTCGTACCGGTGCGCGGCGGACACCCAGCTCAACCTCACCGCGGAGGTGACCAGCGTCGCCGCCACGCTCACGCTCTCGCAGCTGCAGGAGGAGGCCTTCCGCACCCAGCACAACAACAACAGCTTCAGCTCAGGTTTGTTATATATCTACAAGATAGTAAATTTGGGTGTTTTGTTTGTAACATAGGAAAAAAAAGACATGTTTGCGTAGCTGATAAAGAAAATCCAATTTTTTCAATTCTTGTTTGTTTGTATGTTTGTCCACGAGGCCACGTTTGTTCCGAGGAACGTTCCGGAAGGTGGCTGAGTTCATCCGTACCCAGAACTTTATGTACTTTGGCTACTAATGTTGTTATTGTGCATACTTTTGGAGATCCCAGGAACCTTATCAGTCAGATAAAACTAAACATAGAGTTTAAATAAATTGTTCATTTTATTTTAAACAGTTTTATATAAGCAGCTACTGTGTAAACGAGGTTCATGTTTTAATATCGTTACAATAAGCCACTTCTTGAGCAAAAAATCTGAAACACTGTTTAAACATTTAAATGTGCCCCGACCTCGCCTCGTGCCCGGCGCCGAGCTGGGGCCGGCAGCCGGAGCGACGCCCGGTCAAGGCGATGCCGATTCTTAAACATTTTTCCTCCCCCTTGTTTCAATATCTGTCATCTCACACAGTAGAAAGGAATTGAAATTGTTTCATTACAATCTCTCAAATATAACTAATGCTTATTATTATTTTTACAATTTTTAAATTAATATTTCCTATCGCGTGGTCTTGTTAAAACGGGTCATGATATCTTAAGATTAGGTAATGCGTTGTATCTTTTTTGTTGCAATACTAGCTTTCGCGCGCGACTTCGTACACGCAGTATTAAAAAAATCTTGAATAGTAAGCCTATGTGTTCCTCCTGGCTATGTTCTACGTCTATCAGTACAGTCGTTCTGGTGATACCTTCAAACAAATATCCTTACATCCATCCATCCATGTCAACATTCGTATTTAATATTGGTAAAATTATGACGAACGTCAAAGATTAATAAAATCATTAAAAGCATATTTCCGTTGCCAATTTATTTATATATTACTCTCTGGGTTTTATCGAATGTGTCATTTTGCCAAAATCTCGAAACTTCCTCTTGATTTACCAAATAACCTTGACCCGATACTGTATATACTGATACGTTTCCATCCGATATTATAAGTTATTTAAATTTAAAATATTCAATCTGTTATTCATGACAAGTTGTCGCCCGCGACTCCGTCCGCTCAGGATTAAATGAAAAAAAAATGTATTAGTAGATACATTCTAACAAATATCCATCAAGCCATACATCCAAACATTTGCTTTTAATTGTTTAAATTTGCAACATAATTACGTTCAGCACCGACAACTGGGACTAGTTCATTCTTATATGAAATAGTGACATGGAATGTGTTATCATGGTATACGTGTGTGTGTCAGCGCGCGAGTGCGGCTCGGCGGACTTGCCGGACGCTGTGCCGATAGCGGTGGGATGTGCGCTCGGCGGACTCGTCGTCGTCGTCCTCATCGCCTACCTCGAGGGTCGTCGCCGCTCCGCCGCGCGCGGCTACCTCTCCATGTGAGTTACACTCCATTACTCTTCTCTACACTCAGTAACAATACTCACCTCAAGTTATACTAAGTAAAATTACTTACAAACATTCAATAACAATACTATTTTTAGACATTTTAAATTAGAATGGCGCGAATGACGTGCTTTCATTACAAAGTTAAGTGTCAGAATGATTAGCGAGGGTGACATAAACGCAGACACTTTAGTAAGGCTGGTGTTGCGCCAGTACACCGGCTTCTTCTTCTCTACATATGAGTTACACTCAGTAACAATACTCACAGTTCTTTTGTACAACAAAATACGGTAATCATCTAAAACGTTATTTTTTTCTGTTGTGTTCACTAAAATTAATGTAACCTTTTTGCAATTTATTTCAGGTAATAAGTGATGGATGTCAACACGTGCCGTAGTCAATATAATAAATATAGTTAACAAATAAATATAATTCGTTGCATCGCATTCACGACACGAGACAACAGACGCGCACCGCCGAGTGTTGCCCTCATCAAAACATTTGCTCAAAATTAAACTAAACATCGGTAGTGTTAACTAAAATGTGGACATTTCAGCTTTTATTGAACGCAACTACCTATCGTTAAATACAAATAATTTAAGCTCTAGAATATTTAAAAAAAAACTCTTTTTTAAGTAAAAAAAAAACAAAAACTACGTAATGTTATTTTTTTTTATGGAAGTAACGGAAATAAGCTTCATTATGATGATTTCTAGAGCCTAAATAATTATGTATTATAGTAAAAAAAAATATTGTGCTTTGTAAAAACGTGTCCATATTAAGTACTAACTACATCTTTGACTTTGCATCTCAGATTTGTAATTTTTTTTTGTTAAAAAGCTAATTTTATTTTATCTGATTTTTTCTACTTTTTATATCAACGCCGGCGAGTGGCAACAACGAAGTCAATACAATTTTTTATTTATGTATTTTTTAAATGGCAACATTTTGTCTGAATTAATATAAGTTGTCAGATTTATAAAAAAAGTGTATAATTCTTTGTATTCTAAATATAAGCGAGTTGAATATGTTTTATTTAAATGATATGGAATTAATTAAATGTTTTATTTTTAATTACATTTCCTATATTAATATTATAATTTGGATAAATTTTAAAAACAACAAAAAAATAAATATCCTCGCTGGCTGAAAAAAAAATATTTTTACTTTTTTTTATTTTCTTGCATAATAGATGTGAAAATATATTTTTATGCGAGAATCCTCTAAAACAAATGAGGTGCAGCGATTGAAAGTAAAAAACACTGTGTTTCCATTATCGTGATGATTGTAAATATACATATAGCCATCCCTTACATTCTGTTTGTAATGAAAAGAGACGACCATATGTATAGATATAGTTGTCTCGTAGTTGGAATTACACGTACATATAAAATGTGATTTAGTACTTTTTAAAGTGAGTTTGGTAGAATACGATTTTTTTTTAATTTCGATACAAATTAAATATTTCTTAATCAAATTTTTCATTGAACTTGGAGATCATTAGAGTTTCATTGTCATCAACACATCTGTCCATTTTAATTAAGTGTAATTTACGATAACTACAGCATCCTGTAATATTTCACCGTAAATTTCCACTGGTAAAATGTTGCAAAATACTTCGACATAATTCTAATATATTAAAAAAACCTTTACCAGTGGAAATATAATCCTGTATGTTACTAGATGGATTTTATTTGTAAATGTATACATTTGTTCGGAGTTCTGTCGTTTAGTTTCAAATGATATAATTAACATCTATAGATTGGTATCTGCTCTTGTCAGAACATCGAAGAGACAACAAATATAAGGTTATAAAAGAAAAAAATCTAAGCACTCTATTGCGAACTGATTTGTGTTGATTTTTTTTTATTTATTTATCTTCAAAATATATTCATTTATTTTGTATTTTAATTAAGTGCAATGTGGAATTTTCTATTTTTCAGTGGATTTTTTTTCTTTAATTTTTTCTATGGTTTTTTTTTTGTGATCCGTAATAGAGTGCTTTGGTTATTTTGTGATGTATGGAATAAATGAAATAAATGTTTTTTATTGCCACAAACGGCTTTTATTTTGTTATGTATACAATAAATACCTTTTTATTATTATTATTTACAAAAAACTATATACTTATTCCTATATTTACACAATAAAACCTATTGAACACGACAACATTGTATATAATGGCTAAAAAAAAACTTGCAAATTTATTTCAAAGTTTGTACGAATTACATAAAACTTCTACACGTCTATATATTTTTCAAAATATATTTTTTTGATCCAGAAATGTATTGCTCTGAGGCTTACGAGTCACGAGTTTTATTTTATTTCAACTAGATGGTGTTGTTTTCAATATAAAGATTTAATAATTATATCTCGTCAGATATTTAACAAAGAACACAATTAAAGTTGCAGGTTTAATACGTACGATAATATAGAATT